GCCGATACCCAAAAATCAACTATATTTCCATATAATTGCGGTGAAGAATCTGAGAATTAAATTACGAAAACCCTCCCACCCCCAGCATCATCAAAAAATAAAATATTTTAGGAAAGTTCTAACCACGGAAGTATAGACAGATACTCTCAGCATCCAACACTCCGCTGGCTGAAAGACCTTCAAAAACACAGTGCCGGCCGCGAGCCAGAGACATGTCGACGCTCTGACTGGAGCAGGCAGCAAGGCCCCGCTGGCTGGAGACTTCACATGCTGCCCACTGCGCTGCTGGTTTTCAGGACTTCACCTCTTACAACGGCAGTGCTCCCCGGTGGGCGCTAACTCCAACACAGTCCCCATCGAAACCCAGTGGGAGTCGCTGCTGAAACGGACCGGTTCACCCTAAAATTCACACGGAAGTTCAAGGAACTCATCAGAAGCAAAAAAACAAACTTGGACAAGAAGAACAGGTTGGAGGACTGAAAACGCCCAACCTAAGGCTCACTACCACTTGGGGGGGGGGGCGCACAGGTAGCTTTTGATTTGTTTTATCCTTATTTTCTCAACTCTCTACCACAAACATGACTGTCACATTACGGGAAAGCGAGGTGTTCTCAGCACAACCACGCCCAGTCTTACAAACGCGCATGCAAACACCTCGCGGAAGCACCTGCTCAGAACGAAGGTGCGTTTAGATTTTTCATAAACTGAAAACTTACAAAGCGCAAGTATCAAGTCTCTAGGGCGACTTCTACAACATTCACATGGACTCGCTTGCTAAGACTCTAACCCAGCGGGGAGCGGGGAGCGGGCTCTGGGGGCCTTCGGGGCGTGTGCTGTGGCAGCACCCCTGCAGGGGCACCCACACCTCCAAAACACAAACGAGCAAGTTACCTCATTTTAAAAAATTCATTCTAACTGAACCCAAGTTGGGCAGGAAAACGGTGTGTGACGGCAACCCTCCACCCGGCGAGGGAGGGTGGGGGCCGGCCCCGGCCCTGGGCTTGCTGGGCCAGGGGCCAACGCGTCCGGGCCGGGCCGGCCCCGCGAGGACCCCGCCTGCGGGCCCCTGGAACAGGCCTGAGATGCCCTTGACGTTGTGAAATGCACAGCGGCTACTGGCGAGGGGTGGCCTCCCTGCGGCCAGCAGCCATGGCAGAATTCTTCCCTTGACATCCGCGCCGGGACTCTGCTCGTGGGCAGACCAGACGTGGCTGGGGCGGACGTGCGAGGCGCCCGGGACACCGCCGTCCCACGGGAGGGGACACGTCCCCAGCTTCCTGTCTGGGACTTCGCTGGCCTCACAGTCTGACGGACCGAGCAACGAGAGAAAATCGAATTTACTACGTGCACATGGGGGCCCAAAATGCGTGGGACCTGAGGACCGGATGCTTGGGGCTGCACAGGGGTGCAGGCGGGGGCGAGGAGGGGCCCAGAGGGAGGGGAGCGTTCACAGGTGACTCAGGCGC